ACATAACAGAAATTATGCCTTGTCACTATAATATTATATGGGGAAATAAATAATATTGCATAACTCTCGTTATTCTTCAACCTTAAAGTATTATATTTAAACCAGATCTTAGCATTTTTACTGTTGTAACAGTTCCCCGCGCTATTACGACATGTGATTAAGGCTATAAACCACGCTTGAAAAGCTATTCAATTAATAAGCATGCCTTATAACGTTTGTCTTTGAAACTCTGCACTATCCTTGGATCCCTAGTTATAGTATCTGAACGGATGTATTCCTTTACCTTAAATTCTCATGTCATTGATAATTTATTAGCAAAACGCCTTTTTATAATTTACTTAAGTAAAGTAAGTGAAATCTTTGTTGTGAAAATAGTATTGATCGTAGCTGGAAATTGTATGGAAATCTGATTTTCATGTTAAGTTTGAATATCCAGTTTTTTATATATTCTGAAATTTTCTTCATAATTTTGCAATAAGCTGCTCTGAAAAGGCCATTTACCTGTCTACTCAAGCTTATGTGACTATTAAACTATAATTCTAGTATACACACTTTTGTTAAGCCAACGGACGTAGCCATGCCTGGAGCGACACTGAATCCTTCTTCATAAGGAAAAGGCGTGACTCCCGGTTCATGCAGCAAAACCCGCACGCCTGCTTGCTCTGTCAGTTCACCCAGATATTCGTTCTCTTCAATGTCGAGATGAAGAACCAAACCTATGCAGGAATAGTGAAGTAAATTGATCTTGCTTAGTTCTTGAAAAAGTTTTACTTGAGGTAATGAGATGTCCGCCATCATGGATACATTTTGAAATTAACGGTAGTTTTGGTGACGTCACAACAGGGATTAACCATATAAAAGTATTCGTTGCTGACCAAATATTGATTGGTAGATGTTTTAAAGGTTTTGAGCGATCTTGATATTTAGAAGGGCAGACAGAGTATAGTTTTGAGTGCAAAATGATTAGTGGTTGTCTAGATAAAAATATTGCGTAACCCCTGTTGTGACGTGACACGCACATCTACAAAAATTGAAGATGTCGGACATTTCATTCCGTTTTCGATCAAAATATTTGTAGTTGTAGAAGTGAGCAAGATATGAAAAAACGGCAAAAGAGTATTGTATATAGTCTTAAAAGTTCTTTCAAATGAGAAATAAAGAAATATATTGCCATTTCCCTTTATAATTATCTACAAAGTAATTACTGAACCTTGAGATGGTCCTGGTTTGGATGATTTTAAAATGCGAAGAGGTTGATCGTCATTATCCACGCCATCGTTGAATGTGTAGCAGTTTCCATATCTATAGTTCCAGCTCCATTTCCAAAACATCGTGAAATGTCTGCATGCAAAGAAATCAGAATATCAGAATGCTATCATTTAAAGTGCTTATGACACGAAATTTCACCCCAAATGTTTATGATTGCATTGTAAAGATCACTTAAAGTGACTTAATAATTTTTTTTTTAAATTTTTGTAACTTGCTTCCTTGGCAAGATATTCAACTTTGTTTCATATGCAAATATCACCGGTGTGACATCACATCGCATAATGACATTTTGAAAACGCAATATTTTACCTTGAAAAAATATTTTTACAAACAAATACAGAGGGTTAATTACCAGTTATAACAGTACATATACATTTAAGTTTTTTTAGATACGTATTCAACAAGAAAACTATACTTTTCTGAAAACTCATGTGATGTGATGTGATGTCACACTGGTGATATTTGCATATGAAACAAATTTGAATATCTTGAAAAGGGAGCATGTTACCAAAATTCTATAAAGGAAATTATTAAGTCATTTTAAGTGATCTTTACAATGCAACCACAAACCTTTGGGGTGAAAATTGGAGTAAAAACATGCAGTTCATGCCTGCGGATTGCGAACCTACATGAAACTCTGAGTAGCAACATACACTATTTGGAGCTTCGTGCGAGGACTGGAAAATCGCCTTTAAACCCTTGCGCTTGTTCGTCGCGATGCACTACTTCATGTAAACCTTTCATATAGTGACTCGCATGAATTTTTTATTAGCGCCTGGGGACGAGGCAAGGGGAGAGCGAGTCACTGTATAAACATTAGTAAACATTATGCAAGTGTGTTTTCGTGTTTAACATTCCATCCTACCCTTTTCTGCAGTCAGTGCTTTTCCATGTACAATCTTGTATCAAATTATATCGTTTATGGCCAAGTTTATGTAATTCTTCAGTACGTTTGTAAGTGCCAATGTGTGAATTGAGCTCCCTTCTCAGCTCTTCTTCGGGGTTCACGATCTCTTCTTCGGGGTATTCATCAGAAATATCTTCGTCTACTTCATGAACACTGTAGTCATCCACATCCTCTTTATCAACAGTACCGCCATCCACACCCTCTTTATCAACAGTACCGCCATCCACACCCTCTTCATCAACAGTATCGCCATCCACACCCTCTTTATCAACAGTACCGCCATCCACACCCTCTTTATCAACAGTATCGCCATCCACACCCTCTTTATCAACAGTATCGCCATCCACACCCTCTTTATCAACAATATCGCCGTCCACATCCTTTTCACCAGAAAAATGCACATCTTCATTACCATTTTCCCTGTCATCATCATTATACCTTGACAATCCAATATGAGTACAAGTCATTTGTAGATTGAAATTCCAAAATGTTTTAATATCAATACGGAAAACTGTTTTATATTTTTTTTATAATTTAGCACAAATTTCGGGAATACCCTTTTGAATTTAAAGAGCCGCGGGAAATTTTCCGTGTTGACATTGAGTTATGTTATATGGTTATGTCAACACGGCTCTTAGCCAATCAGCGTTGAGAATTTACAAATGCTATATTATAAATATATTTAGTATCCTTGGAGGATAGATGTCAATTTCACGCAATAGCAAACAACAATCTAATTCTAGTTAAAATACTAAAACCTATCATGAACAATAGCATAATCTAGTTAGCACTAACCATTCAAAAAACAGATTGAAATTTTTGTCCGATAAATCGATTAATCAGGCAAAACAATCCAATTCTATCAGTTATTTCAAAAGACTAGTGAAGCTACATTTTCGAAAACAATAAGTATGTAAATAGTTTTGTATGTTTGTTATTTATGTTTGCTAATTGTCTAAAGAATAATTATGTAAATAGTTTGTATGATGTATATGTATTAGTTTTAATCTTACACGTCCCCATGGAGGAAACCATCGAAAGATGTTAAGGCTAACGTGTTTAAATAATTTTTTTATGTTTGTATGTATATGTGTGTATGTGTGTGTGTATGTGTGTATGTATGTATGTATGTATGTAAAAGCCGGATTATGACTTTTTACATGCGGCCATGCAGACAGGGATTTGTGTCAGGCCCTCTTTACCCTCCATGATACCCAGGCATCTCGAGTTTGGGGAGTGTCAAAATATTTTATAAATATTTTACCCGTCTTCTGTCGGTTCCTCTCGTTTTTTTCTCCTCCTTGCTGTAAAATTAAAAGTGAATTTCAATCTTACCATTTGATACTCCCTGCATGCATGTCGACAAAAGGGCAAAAATAGAAAAAATTAGCTGATATTTTAAGAAGTAGAAAACATATATGTTTTTTCCACACAGTTATATAGAAACACCGTGGGAGTTTGTCTCGCCGCTAATTTGTTCATGTTAGCTCGCAAAATACGCCTCAACGCCTGCTAAAGTTATTTAATAAAAAATGTTCGCTGCGGTGAAATCTCTCTTCAGATCCAACCGTTAATTCTCGTGGTTCGACAAATATACATATTGCAAAAAGGCTATAGTTTTAACTTTATACTTACATTGTGGCGCATGCGCAATGCTCGTGTGTGCAGTCGGCTGTTCAGTCTTATTGTTATCTGCAGTCGGTTTCTCAGTGATATTAACAGCTTCAGATGATTTTTCAGTGATATTGGCAACTTCATTCGGCTTTTCAGTGATCTCCTCATAATATGTCACAGTCTCGGAAAGCGTGAATCTTTGTATCAACTCGTCAGGCAAATACATTACTACAGAGCTATTCTTTATCATGTTCAAATTACAAATGGTAACAGCAGGAAAGTTTAGTTGCTGAAATTAAACAGAGAAGAAGATTATATCATTGCATGGGCTTCGGTGACGCATGCAGTCGCCGGAGCAAACGTCTTTCACCTCGTCTTCACCAAAACTAATGCACGGAATTTTGTCAGCTAAACATTTATTTCACGTTAGGTCGCCTTATGTTTGCCAAAACCACAGAAGTATTTTTTGTATACACAATTGTCAATGTGTCCTTGGAGGTCGTGTACACACGAACAAATCTTCCTTCACATGTCCGCCTTAACTAGCTTTGGAACCTTAACTTGCTGTTTTAAAACTGCAATCCATGGTTATTCTTTCGACACAAGAAAGAAAATATGAAACGAAAACGTTCAACGAAAATTTTGGCAAGAAATTTCGAACCTGCCGTTTGCCGTTCCTAGAAACGTGAAGCTTAAACTCCCTAATAAAACTATTCCACTACACAGATTGCTATACTTATAGATATATTCAGTTTTAGGCTTAAGTTGTCCTTGATTGCTATATATACACGAACAATTGTCCTTGTTGAACAGCTGGCATGACCAGCTTTAGATAAAGGATACTTGCCAAATAGAATACGGTCCACTTTTGCCGTACATGCATGAACAAGTAAAGCCTGAAAAACTTGACAAGGAAAATTTGCTCGTCTGTTATATGTGGCTTTAGTCAGAGACCATTGTAGTACCTTTTCAAATGCCACACTCACAGATGTTTGCACGGGTCGTGATAAATACAACTTGAAGAGATCCATTACTTCTACGGCGAACATTCCAGAAGCACCGAGAATTGCCAGGATCCAGAATATTCTCCACACAAATGTCGTGGCCGCAACAAGTCTTCCAAAACCATGTGCTGATGTATAGCCCATAAACTCAACCAATGTACCACGAAACGATGGTTTCTTTTTTTCTTCCGCATCATTTTTGTCTTGAAATGCCTCCATCAATATGCTTATGTTATACTCTATAGTTTAAGTAAATGAATGCCTGAACAAACTACATTCACCAGATCATGGGATAATAGAAGAAGATTAGTAAAAAGGGAATATGGAATATCTTTGCACCATTCACCGACACTGAGGTGAATGATTGTCTTGACATATGCCATTATGAAACAAAGATGACAAAAAATAGTGACTGACATATTTTTAAAACAACTCTAAAAATTAAAGCTATACCGTAATAGTTTTATAAGGTGAAAGTTTTAGAAGAAAACTTGTCAAATCTTTAAACGATTTTTATGCTAAGTAATAAAGAATATGTATGTATACGTACCTATATCCAAGAGGAAACTGAACTTGAAACTGTTTAACGCTAAAATACGTCTGTTAGACCATCCGTTTGTCATCAATAGACAACATAGGCATAAAGTGCAATAGCTGCATGGTGAGACCAAACTACTTATACTATACTGTAATCATGGATAATTAGAAAAGTAGTTGGCGTCATCGTGTATTACGGGGAAAATATACTACTTGGTTGTGACTACATTCAAAATTTTAATTTTTTAACACTTTCTCAATCTGCAAACAAACTTGAAAAGTACGTTTGGAGCTTTAATTATCTATAAAATAATGTTAAAATGAAAGTATTTTAGATGATATGCCAAGTTGTTGCCAGTAAAGTAGGATGGATGAGAGCTAGGGAGGTTTTCAAGATGGCGGCTATTTTTCAAGATCGTTAAAACACAAAAGGGTCAGTAACCATACACTTACGACAAACTTTAAACTTTATTCTAAACCTAGCCCCAACCCTATAATCCTAACATTAAGCCTGAAAGCGAACTCTGAGTTTAAATTATCTATTTATCTGAACTATCTCGAAAACCTCCCTCTCGTCCATTTCAAAGCATCGCCGAACGATAATTATATTGTAATTGACAACAGTGTGCCATACTACTTTATTTTTTTTTTCAAACGGCAGATGCATTTAAAAAGTTATAGCTAACCGTATAATATACTACAAAAAAAAACTTACATAAAGTAATTTTGAGAGGCGCCAAAAAGATTTTGGGTTTCGAACTCTTTCCGTGGCAAATGTGCGTCAGAAAAAAACCTATTAATCTAGAGGCCGATCGAACTCCCGAGTTGCCATAATTTCAAGTTAAATACTTTCACCCTGACCTTCCAAGTTAAATGGAAGGGCATTACAAGCGGCGGTCATTTTGTCGTTTTTGAGAATGTAATTAAAAAGTGATTCTGTCATTTTTGAATGTAAATTGTAATTCTTCAAAAATGTGCTCTTAATAGAGTTTTAACTTAATAGAGTTTTATTACGTTGCATTGCGCCCTACTTTATTATTCTGTCTAAGGGCAGATGTGCCTTTTGTTCGCGCCAACAGAATATTCTCCAGACAAATGTCGTGGCCTAAACAAGTCTGCCAAATTATGTTATATATAATAGAAGAAGATTAGTAAAAAAGGGAATATGGAAAGTTGAGGTGAATATCTTTGCAATATTTACCGACAGTGCAGTGAATAATTGTCTTAGCATATGCCATTATGAAACAAAGATGACAAAAAACAGTTAAAAATATTTTTTAACAACTTTTAAAAGCTACCGTAATAGTTGTATACAAAATGCAAGCTTTTAGTAATTTTATTCATTGTTAATTATATCCAGTGGTCCCGACGAAAATTTGACGCTTAAACGAAAATTCGACGTCTGTAAAGATGTTTTTGTAGAATTATAGTTTTAAATGCCTGATGACGTGATACAGCAGTAAAATGGCCCGCCAAACGTTGCTAAAATACCAAAATGCTAAACTATATATGAAGAATTGAATGAAATTTGAAAATGATTTGAAATTTATATAGGAACGAGTGAACGACGGTGAAGGTTTTGGAAGAAAACTTGTCAAATCTGTTAACGATTTTATACTTATATCCATGCAAGTATAGGAACTGATCCAACTTTTTCGCGGCGAAGTTTTTCCGTTTGGCAAATGGAACAACCAACCTGATGTAGTACTTTAGGTCTTATGCACCAAATAAGCTCTTATGCACCGCGCGCTCAAAATCAGTCCGATTTTCATCAAATTTTCACCAAATGTTAGCCAGTGCATGCAAAATATGATAAAGTTGTAAAATTGACAAACAATAAAATAATGTAAGAATTATTCAGGAAAATCTTAAGTCGCGGCACCTTTACGCTTTTGAGTTATGTTCCTGCTGGTTTTAAGATATATTTATGAAAATATCATTTTTATACAGTAATTAAAAATAGTTGTTCTAAAAAATTGTGTTCGGAATTTTTTGTTTATTTCGTCTTCCGCTGATATGGCGATTTCTTTGACGACTGCAACATATTTCTGAATCGTTTGTGTGAACTGCTCCTTATTAAAATATCCAAAATTAGAACAAAGCCGAACAAAATTTTGAAACTGACGTCCTTAGCTATATCCTGTGAAAATTTGAGAAAAATTCGTTAAAACCCGCAGGAGCACAAATCGTTTAAAAATCAGTAATTGCCGTAAAATTCTTCGGGCGAAAATTGAATTTGAATATTACATTTTCAATGTTTTTCTTATTGCAAGCGAAATGTATTTTATTAAATAACACTGGGAGTTTTCAACATTTTTCGTCCAAACTTGGTCAGTTGATGTTGAATAAATTGAAACTAAATAGTGGCAAAACGGAGCTTATATTAGTCCATTCACGCTATCATCTGATGCCTCCCTTAAATTATATCATGGTGGGAAAGGAAAAAATTGTGCCAACTGTTTCAGCAAGAAATCTGGGGGTGATTTTTGATGAGTGGATCAGATTGGGCGAACATATTAATGGTATCTGCAAGTCAGCTTACTACCATATTAGGAATATTTCAAGAATTAAGAAGTATCTACCTCGAAATTGCTTAGAAATAATTATTCATGCATTTATAACTTCAAGATTGGATTATTGTAACTCCCTGTTGTATGGTGTACCCAAATATTTGCTTCAGAAGCTTCAGAGAGTCCAAAATACTGCAGCTCGTTTACTAACTGATACTAAGAAATCGGCGCATATCACCCCAGTTCTTATCGAATTGCATTGGTTACCTGTCCAATACCGTATTCAATTCAAGATTATACTTCTTGTCTACAAAGCTGTTAATGATCTTGCTCCATCGTATCTGAAGGAACTTATGCTGTGTCGTACTTCGCAGCGTACTCTTCGATCAAATGGAAATGAATTGCTCCAGATTCCTTATTCTAGACTAAAGACATACGGAGACAGATCGTTCTGTGTTGCTGGACCAAGATTGTGGAATGATTTACCTGTTCATCTTCGGATGTGTGAATCATTATCCATTTTTAAGAAGTTTCTTAAAACATATCTTTTTAACTTGTTTTTAAATAGTGTATGATGTATTCTATAGTTTTAACATTCTTAACACTAGTTTTAAGATTGGATTTTGTATTACTGTAAAGCGCCTAGAACAGTCTTGGTTTGTGCGCTATATAAATGTTTATTATTATTATTATTATTATTATTATGTTGTATGACGGAACTTTCTCTAAGCCGCATTTTAGTAATTCTGTGTTTGAAAAAATTAGACCATATAGGCTCAGTACGAAAAGATTATTTTAATAACTACGTTTCGGAGTATAACTCCATCTTCAGGTTAAAAAGTAACTAAAGATATAAAACTTTAAAAACAATTACAAATTTGTAATAGCTTATATGGTTTCACGGTACATTTGAAAAATGCACGGACTAATTACAGGTAAACTACGTGAAGCGTTCCTCTTTTGACTTCGTGACTCATTTAGAATTTTCCTCATTAGCTTTGCAAATTTGAAAAACTCTTTGCAAATCCCTTGAGGGAATTTGCAATGTTCCTATCGGCTGTTGCAATATTCCAAACTTCATTTTAAATTTTCCTAACTTCCTGTTTTAATTTTCTAACTTCCTGTTCTGTCCTGAGCGTTGTTATTGGTCGATTATTTTTGTTAGCCTATTGCAACGCCCAGAACAGAACAGGAAGTTAGGAACTTGTAACAGGAAGTTAAGAACTTCTAACAGGAACTGAGGAAACTTTTTTTGGCTTTTAGCAACATTGCAAATTCCCTCAAGGGATTTGCAAGGGAGTTTTTTAAATTGCAAAAGTAATGAGGAAAATTGCAATCAATTTAGAAACTCAAAAGAGGAACGCTTCACGTAGTTTACCTGTAACTCAAATAGTTGGGATTCAGTGAATTAAAACAATACCAATGTCTGATTCGACTGATTGTGATTTATCACATATGCATGGCCTACTCTGGTATGGTAACTCGCCAACGTGGCCGCGATCGCGAGATAACGCGTGTTTAGGCGAATTTTTGGTTGTTATCGATCATGGGGTTTTACGAACCAGTAATTATACACATCACTATGCTCTGGACTTGTACACTAATTCAAATAACATACACTACGTGCAGAAGATGGCCATTGAGATGAACTTATTGTCTTTTCATAAATCTGCTCTCTATAAAATTTCGAAAAGTAGAGAATCAGCATATATACTAGATGACTCAGTTAACATCTGGGACGATATTTGAGATCTTAAGATTGTCAGTAAATTTGAAGGTAACAAGACAGCTGAGTATGTAGCTATTCATATTTTAATGCACAAATTGCCCTAACTTCGAACAGTTGCACTCAAAATATGCCATTTGAAGTTTACCATCTGCGGTTAGAGATATGCCGTCGTATAAACGCTAATCTTAAAGTCTCGGTTATCGTCTGTAAAAGCGTCACAGATATTGTCGTTGCAAGTATAAAATCGGCCACATAAGACAAAGCAAAACTTGCCTGCATGGTCGTTTGCATTCATCAATACATGGAAGTTGATCTTTGCTGAAGAGAAATTTCACCCTCTGTAAACATTTTCCTGCATGAAAACAAATTGTCAAAATCATGCCTCTCTACAATACGGATACCTCTCTAATACGGGCATCTCACGAATACGGACGCCTTTCTATGGTTGAAATCTTACTCTTATATTTGTCAAAAACATCACATGGTTCTTCTTTTCCAGATGGATAAGAAGCTTCAGCACATTTGCACATAGCCAATTGACTTTCTCCCAAACAAGAGTTGAGACATGCCTGTTAAAGGAAGAAGAAACAATAAGAGGACTTTATCATTTGTCCGCGTCTATTTCTTCTACGTCAAGACCGAACGTTTTCACAAAGACATCACTTTAGCATGAAAACTCGAGCAAATTCTCTGTCCTATCCTTTTTTCCACGTTAATGAGATTTTTCAAGCTGAAGACAATGAACTTTTGGCGTAATGAAGCAATCATCCAATATGTAATTGAGGGTCCTGAAGGGGCAAAACGGGAACTGGGATATTTGCTTATTTTTGGGTGGGAAAATGGACTTCATGCACTGGGACTGGGATTCATCAGCAAAAAATCGATAGAAAATGGGAATGGGATTAAGATTTGTGCAGGACAGTCACTGAGATGATGGGATTTGTACTCTGGGACAATGGGATTTAGTCAAAATTTGGGCTGGGAAATGGGAATACGACCCGCCTTCAGGACCCTCATAATTGCCTCGCCGAATCATTCGACCGTATAGTATTGAAATATTAAATAAGCAAAATTCCAAAGGTAAAGCCGTCTTGACATAGTCCAGTTTACTTATGTTGCTGTAAATATAGCATCATTAATAGTTGTATTTTAATATACATTTTTTACCGCTATTTTTTGTCAACCGTCAGAATTTAAAAATCAAAAAGTATACCAAGTAGTTTTTGGCAGGTACACCAACAAGATTTCAGGTTTTGAATTCTTTTCATCGAAAATATATGCGACATAGAAAAAATTCCCTTCCATGCGTTACATGACCTTAGTATTAAAGGAACATTTTGGCAAACCTGTAACGAATAGCGCGTAATGTTTTTATGTTTCCTGTACAAATTGTCTTCACGTAATGAAACATCGTCTTCAGAACAACTTCCATTCTCAAATCTATCCAATCTTTTGATCAGTGTCTACAAACAGGAAAACCCGAATTAAAAAGACAAATCTCTTCTTTGAAGTCCTCAAATCATTCATGAGCAAACACCTTATCGTTACTTGTCTTGATAAAACTGATGGGAGATGTGTTCGCATGTAACAATATTGTAACAATGTTGTCATTTTATCTAGGTGCTACAAAGTTGTTACTCATAAAAACTTGAACTAAGCTGTGTATTACGCTGTGGCAGCCAGCGCTAGTCCTATTTTTCAAGTCAAGCTCATATGCCTATTATATTATTCAAATGTCCAATACATACTTTTGTTAAACCAATAGACGTAGCCATGCCTGGAGCGATACTGAATCCTTCTTCAAAAGGAAAAGGCATGGCTCCCGGTTCATGAAGCAGAACCCGCACGCCTGCTTCCTCTGTCAGTTCACCCAGATATTCGTCCTCTTCAATCGCCAGTTGAAGAACTAAACCTGTGCAGAAAATGACAGATGATGATACATGATAATATATTTTTTACTTATAACGAATCTTACATTCGAATGAAAACACGATCTACAAAGTAACTAGAGGGCACTCAGAGACTGCATACCTCCGCCCGTTACTCGAAGTGAAACGCAACTTGGAATTTCCTAAGAAATCCACTTTATAATTCTTAAGCATAAAAGATTTCAGGCCCCCGCGAATTGAAATCGAATTGCTCTATAATAGATCATATTACTGTTGTTGTACTGTACAGTACTTGTAAAATAAAAACTTATTAAGTGTCATTAAATAAATGCATAAATTTTGCTTTATGCACTCGCGCGTGCAGTAATTTTCACAGTTGTGCTATTTTAAATTCCCAGGCAGCTAAAATCTTTTGTCTTTAAAACAATGTCGATTTCTTGGGAAATTCCGAGGTTGCGTTCTTTTTATACACCCTGTATTGAAGTAATCTAATGTTGTTAGAATTTGAATGGACTGGCACTTTGCTGAACGTAATAATGCGTAACTCCGTAAGCCTTGTTTTAGACATTGAATTTCGGTCGCGTGAAATGCAACTAAGACAATAGATAATGAAGGCCGAAGCTTAATGAGGTTTATCATCTCATTATTGTCTTAGTACTGAGTGCATAAATTATACACGTCCTAATTACGCATTCAGTAATATTTTTTGTTAATTGACCGGGAAAAGCAAGACAAAATTTTGATCATTTCTCGTTCAATTTTTAACCAAATTCAACCAAATTTTAATCAGTTCTTCCTTAGCCGATGGGAAATGCACTCACAAAATTTCGTACGGATATGTTTGGTATTTCTTGAGTTATCGTGCTCACAGACAAACACACACACATACACACACACACACACACATACACACACATACATACAAACCCAGATGATTACATAACCTCCTGGCGGAGGTACAAACCCAGATGATTACATAACCTCCTGGCGGAGGTAATTACTGAACCTTGAGATGGTCCTGGCTTGGATGATTTTAAAATGCGAAGAGGTTGCTTGTCATCATCTATACCATCGTTGAATGTGTAGCAGTTTCCATATTTATAGTTCCAGCTCCATTTCCAAAACACGCTTAAATTTCTACCAAAAAATCAAAATGTTATTGGAATCATATTTTCTGATTTTAACTATGCACAGAGAGACCTCTTACATTTAATTTTATAATTTAACTATCCATGCACAAATTATTCATTTTTAAAACACGTTTCTTCAAATCTTTTATAAATCAGGGTTTTTTTCAAACTGTTTTTTGTTAAGACGTTTTTATATCATACCATTTAAAGGAGAAAGTAACCAGGTAAACTACAGTAAACCAGAAATATTTGGGTTATTCCCAAAGGTGTGTAGTAGCGAAGTAGTTGTAGTTCGCTACTGTAGCGAACTACAACTTTTATAGCCAGTAGTTTTTGGCTACTTTTTTAAAACAGTAGCTGTATTTATACACTACAATATAAACTACCCAATTATAACTACATTTTGCCTAAAAGTAGCCAAGTATTTGACTACTTTTCAAACAGGGAATCACTATTCGCTACTTTTTAAAATTGTTAGCAACTTGATAGAAAGTAGAATGATATTGAGACACGGTTTGCTTAAAATCAATACTCAATACTCAATAGTCAATTTGCACTATTGAACACTTACAAAAATGTTGCTTTGTGTTTACTGTTGCTACTCGGAAGTTGATTTGTTATAGGTTACATTTAGCCTGTTATTTTGTTATGTTCCATGCAAATACAATAAAATTAAAAAATATAGCGTAGCGAAATTAAATAGTTCACTACAAGCAATAGCTGTAGTCAGTAGCGAACTACAAAAATTTTGTAGCCAACCCACCCTTGGTTATTCCTTGGTTAACCAGGAAAATTTAACCAGAATGTTTTATAGATTGTTGCTTAACATTGCAGCTTACCCCTGAATGCAGTCTACTCCCCTCCATGTACATTTTCGGATCAAATCAAATCGTTTATGGCCAAGCCCCGTTAGGAACTCTGGTGATTCTCCACCGATGTACGATTCGACTTTCATTCTCAGCTTTGTTTCTTTGTCCACGTTTTTCTCATCTGGGTATTCATCAGAAATATCCTTGTAATGTTCAGCTGGTTTCCATTCGTCATAATACCTTGACAATCGAATATACAGGATGTATATAAGAAAAACGAGACCTTTAGAATTCAAGCTATTGTTTTTAAGTACAGCATTTCATACATGCTCCCGAGACTTTAAAGTACCTTCTATAATCGTATGACACGAAATTACACGAATCCAAATCCCATGAAACGAAATTTCACCCCAAATGTTTATGATTGCATTGTAAAGATCACTTAAAATGACTTAATAATTTCTTTTATAAAATTTAACTTGCTTCCTTTGCAAGATATTCAACTTTGTTTCATATGCAAATATCACCGGTGTGACATCACATCGCATAATGATGACATTTTGAAAACGCAATATTTTACCTTCTGATAAAATATTTTTTACAAACAAATACAGAGGGTTAATTACCAGTTATGAAATTAATACATATATACGGGCAATTTTTAAGTTTTTTAGATACGTATTCGTCAAGAAAACTATACTTTTCTCGGAAAATTTATTATGTGATGTGATATGTCACACCAGTGATATTTGCATATGAAACAAAGTTGAATATCTTGAAAGGGAGCAAGTTACCAAAATTCTATAAAAGAAATTATTGAGTCATTTTAAGTTATCTTTACAATACAACCATAAACCTTTGGGGTAAAATTTCGTGTCATAGGCACTTTAAGTAACAGTCTCTGTTGAAAAATTGTTCAGTTATTAGCCTGGTAACGATTAAAATATAAAAAAAATGCAAAATTGCGGTAGCTATTTTCCGAATCGATCAATATTTTGTGTTGAAATCCCACGAAGTCCTCTTTAAATATTACATGAAATAAACAAATGAATATCATTACTTTTCGTCATGATAATAATCCCCATTCCCCTTTCCATCGCCATTATTTTCTTTCTTATCTGAATTTCCATTCTTGTTATCAGCGTTTTTATAAGTTCCCGTATCAGACTTCCCATCATATGCTCCAGTATCAGATTTCCCATCATTTTTCTTGTTATCACTGTTTCCATCAGTTTTCGAGTCTTCTTTCTTTTCTTCACGTTTTCTTCTTTCTTTGCCTTTGGCTGTAAAATTATAGGGCGTTTGCACATGACGTCACAGCCGCCATGTTGGTGTTCCAATTCAAAAGAATTTTAATTAGACTCTTTTCTTTAATCTATGCTTTTGTCTGGACACCAACATGGCCGCCATGGCTTTTGTTGAGTTAGGGACGGACCATTAGAAAAGTGATGCGGAGGGTGGGGAAAAAACAGAAAAAAAATCCATGCAAACAAAAAGGGTTTGAAAAAAATGCATGCATCAGACTTGTTTAAAATGCGAGAAGACATATTTTAAAATAAAAACATACATACACAGTAGTACATACATACTCTTAGTCCCTGGGGAATGAGTGCAAACGTTCTATAATTGGGTTCTATAACCTGTGACAAAAGGTGACTAAAAAGACAAAATTAGCTAATGTTTATATCCTATAAACCTTGTACCAAAATCGTGGATCCTTAATCCTCTCGCCCAGAAAAAAAGCGTGTCATGTTCTTGTGTTTTGACATTCGGGAATGCCACTATATTCTTCTAAGTATAATTTGAAATCCTTTTACTTACGTTTAGACGTAGTACCTAGGTCTTTGGTCGGTTCTCCAGTCGTAGTGAGACCTGTAGTTGGCTTTTCAGTGACGTTGACAGCTTCAGTCGGTGTTTCAGTACTATCGACAACTACATTTGGCTTTTCAGTAGTTTTGATAGCTTCAGTCGGTGTTCCAGTGCCATTAACAACTACATTCGGCTTTTCGGTCGTACTGACATCTTGGTTCGGCTTGTCAGTGATTTTGATAGCTTCAGTCGGTGTTCCAGTGCCATTGACAACTACATTCGGCTTTTCGGTCTTACTGACAACCTGGTTCGGCTTTTCAGTGGCTTTAAAAGCTTCGGTGGGTTTCTCAGAGATGCTGCTATTGGTAGTGGTATCTTTCTTGTCCTCAACATAGTTGTAATATGTATAATTAAGCTTGAAATGTTCTTTAACTTTGTCTGGCAAATACGTCATGGAGCTTCTCTTTATTATGTTCAAATTGCAAATGGTGACAGCAGGAAAGTTTAATTGCTGAAATTATTTCAAGAACGGAGATAAGCATTCCAAATTAAACAAAATAATATACGTCTATATAGCTCATTTCAGGGAAAGAACACCACGCTTTATGTATATAGTAGGCGCTTGCATAGGCAAAAGGTTTTTAATAAATAAACCAAACTATAAAATTATCACTAACTGAATTTAAAGTTTGGACGACTTGATAACCTGTTAAAAGGCTGTTTCGAAAATTTTTCTCCATTGAAGTAAAAGACAACACTAATACACTATAGTTGCTATCCTCAATAATAATCAGTTTAAATCCTTTCTACAGGGTGTCGCAGAAAAACGCAAGCATTTAAATTAAATGTATTCATTGCAATGATAATAAATTAATTTATAACACAGTAGTTTGATGAACTTGACTCATCTGAGACTTCAATTGGATAAAAAAAACGCTACAACACACTGCTTTTGGCCACAAAATCATTCAGCATCGGCGTTTGAAGACCAACCGAGGTTAAATGAATCGCAGTGCGTAAACATTTAACATCGGTTCGTCTTTATTAAGTACCGATGCTGAAAGTTTTGGTGACCAAAATGAATGTGTCACAGTGCTTCGACAGGATACTAAGTATATATGGTAGTATATACCAAATCACTCATTGAAGTCCACCTTATCACAACCCGCACACCCGATTACCTATATATACATGAACTTACGGTTACAGCTCAACAGCTGGCCTCTGTAGCTCTGTTGGTTAGAGCGCTGCACCGGAATCGCAGGGCCGTAGGTTCAATTCCTACCAGAGGACCTTGTGCTGCATTTTTCGCAGTCGTTCCTGGTTAGGTCTTAAAATGTATATATTCTCACTTGGATTACAAACCCTAACATTCTAATATAGTAGTATACCTTTTCGAATGTAATAGTCACAGATGTTTGCACAGGTCGTGATAAATACAACTTGAAGAGATTCGTTACTTCCATGGCGAACATCCCAGAAGCGCCGAGGATTGCCAGGATCCAGAATATTCTCCACACAAATGTCGTGGCCTCAACAAGCCTGCCAAAACCATGGCCTGTCGTATATCCCATAAACTCAACCAAAATACCACGAAACGATGGTTTCTTTTTTTCTTCCATATTGTTTTTGTCCTTAAATGGCTCCGTCAATATGGTTATCTTCTGTTCTATAAAAAAAACGTTCACGAAAAAGAGTATGATATTGCATGTTTTTTTAGAACTTACGGCACGAAATCAGATACGATCAGTGTCCAAGATGTAATTTAATAATAATGAAATCTGCAAATTGCATAATTACCAATTTAACTGCAGTAGATTAACATGAATCAATATGGACAGTGTCCTTTATGGATAGCGACAGAGCTCGTCAGCTCAAGACCGTCGTCATTTGTTTTTCATATTCGAATTACATGCGTACGCATACAATACAAGGTATTAAATTACTGGGAATTAGAGTATTTTAAGAAAGTTTTGCATTTGAAAATTAAAAGATTTTCCCCAGTTAGAAGTTCATCAGAGTTGGCGTGGAATTTGGAAAGAAATAACTTCGAAGTCATCAATGGAGGAGTGCCATTGAGGTGTCAAAGAATGCTTGGCAGACTGACTCGCCAAAACAAAACACTAGTTTGAGCACTAAAGGTGTGTTTTCTAACGAAATTGAAATCGCAATTTCGCTAGCCAGCAAGTTTCACCGAGTTGGAAACTACTCGCACAGACCATCACAGACACATTTATAAGCGAAATCGGTCGAAAAAAGTCTCATTTACAATATCAATATTCCAGCATGAGCTCCACCTTTGAATTTACTATATGAGTAAATTCTTAAACACGTCCGAATTTATCATTATGATAAAAAACCCCAATCCTAACCGCTAACCCCTAACTTTTAAAACTTTTTGAAAACCTAACTTTTAAAACTTTTTTTGCTTTTGAAACTCTTTTAAAATCTTTTAAACCATTTTTTTGCAAATCTTGGAAATCTCCCAGCCCCCGCGCGACAGGTTTTATGATTAACTCTATTGATAAATTCCAAATGTGCCGCGAATTTATCATAATGATAAACTCGGACGTGTTTAAGAATTTACTCATATAGTAAATTCAAAGGTGGAGCTCATGTTGCAACATTCACGTAAATGGAGAATGAATACTCAGCTCGGATAGACGCGCGAGCAACCAAGCACAGGCAATTACCCAGGCAATTAATAAAAGTGAGATTTTCGCTTAGCGGGTCGGCTCTCGTTGCCAATTAAACGGCACAGGACGCGACGAAAAGAGCACACACGTGAAAACATCACCGATGTTGTCTCAAGTGACTTGTCATTGGGATGTGTTCGCACTGCTCGAGTTGTTCCCCATTTGTTGACAAGTTGTCAACGGCTGATTGGGAAAATTGGCTGCAAAGCTGTTGATTCAAGAATCTAATGACTTTATCGTTTTGCAATTCAACAAGGTGTTAGTGATAACCTTGTAGCAACTTGATACAATAACAACATCGATGCAACTTGTTGACAGGTCTGTTGTGAACACATCTTGTTGACAAGATGTGAGATCTTTACATGTGTAGCTGACTGTATTCTGTGCACCTGTCACTTTTAAAACACAGCTAGTAATTCCAATAACTCTAAAAAAGTTCATCATTGTAATACCTTAGGCTTAGGCCTGTTCTAAACGTCGCATTTTACATGCGCCGAATGCATTCAAAACAATGGATGAAGCTTTTCAGCTGATTACTGTATCAATTATTTGTTTTGAATGCATTCGGCACATGTAAAATGAGACGTTTAGAACAACTCATTCTTTTGTGTGTTTTAAGTTCAAATATTGCATTTTATACTAACTTGCTAAATTCGAGGCTACGAATAATCATAAAATCGACGCCACTTTATATTGAAAAGCAGTCCTGAATCTATAGCGTTGGGTAAAAGATATTTGAAGCGCCAAGATTGTAGAATAAACCAAAAACATTAACAATTTATCTTCAATTTCGGTGCCAAGCTGAGGTATAAAAGTTAATAATGAACGTTGCCCCTAATCAGGCCAATGCTGATTTTGAGTCTTTCGTCAAATCTTTTAAATTTTCTCGTGATCAAGAAATAAAAAAATATGTATACCTTCCCAAATTAAACTTGAAACTGCATGCACGCGTTACAATACGTCTGTTACATCATCAGTTGTCATCAATCTGAACGCGGTAATACTTCAGCTATTGCGACGCAAATATAATATAAACTAATTACACTTCACTTCATGCAATAACAGGCCTTTTAAATAAAACAAACCCGGCTCCCTAGTAACAGGTTCAGCTAGCATTTATGAAGCTGCAACATGCAGCGCCGAATTAAGTTGTATTCAATTATATTGCCCTTTATGCATGGTTTCGTGCTCAAATTTACTATCGAATCTCGTACGTTTTCCGTACTATAGTAGTATTGATTTTCATGCAACACAAGATTATAAACCGGTAATCTAAATTAATATGATCTAATATTGTCAAATTTTTAAAGTAATTCAAATTATTTAAAATGATATATATTTTTCATACTGAGCTGTGCGTATTGATTTGAATGCATGTTAGTTGGAAATGCTTATACACGAATTAATGTCGTTTCATATCATGTTTGGTTATACTTTATTGCCGCAATTGTCTTATGTGTGGATATTTGTGACAAGTTGCGACAATAGACCTTTCACAGATTTTCCATTTTTTAAAAACTGTTTAAATTCAACACCACAGCTGCTGAAATGAGCATGGTAAAATATTATAAAATGCAAAATAAAAACCCGCCACGTTTTGCAATTTCATGCTAAATTTGATTTTGCATGAATGTTTGCATTTGCGGTGGAATAGTTTTGGTACCCTTTAATACTTTGGTCAAAGTGTTACATAACTACAATATAACGCTTGCACCGGAATCAGTTTATTAGTGATTTTCAGTGTTTTGTGGGTGGAAACATTAGTTAAAATGGGGGGGGGGGCTGGTGGAAAGGGAGGGGGAGTCAGGTATTTTTGGGCATGGATAAAGGGGGGCAAAAATTATTGTACATGTTTGAATTTTGATGATGCAATTTGATTGCATTTCTGGGCTCTGATAGGCCTCAGATTGCAACATTTCAGAGGAGCATATACCTCGACTAGAGCACTCGCCAGTGCTCCAAACCCAAATACGGTCCA